CATCACCACTGGTTGCTAGTGTCCATCACTACTGGTTGCTAGTGTACTACACCACCACTGGTTGCTAGTGTCCATCACCATTGGTTGCTAGTGTCCATCACCACTGGTTGCTAGTGTCCATCACCACTGGTTGCTAGTGTCCATCACCACTGGTTGCTAGTGTCCATCACCACTGGTTGCTAGTGTCCATCACCACTGGTTGCTAGCGTCCATCACCACTGGTTGCTAGTGTCAATCACCACTGGTTGCTAGTGTCAATCACCACTTGTTGCTAGTGTACGTCACTTCTAGGTGCTTGTATGCATCACTTCTGGTTGCTAGTGTACATCATTTGTGGTTGCTAGTGTGCATCACTTTTGGTTGCTAGTGTACGTCACTTCCGGTTCCTTGTGTACATCACTGCTGGTTGCTAGTGTACATAACTGGTTGCTAGTGTACATTGCCCCTGGTTGCTCGTGTATATCACTTCTATGACTAGATTTTATTTAGATCACTATTCAAGCCAAGATTTAGATTTTTGACACTGATAATTTAAGTGAGTTAATGCAGTGTGTCGCTGTGACTCGAGTTAAATCATCATTTGAATGCAGTGGTTTCACAAGTTTGATTATTGTGTAAGACATAGCGGTATAACATATTTTGTACATTTGTCGGCCATGTGGTACAAAATGGCCATATAGTATGAAATGACCATGTCATGCAAAGTAACCATATGGTAAGAAATGACCATGTGGTACAAAATGGCCATATAGTATGAAATGACCATGTCATGCAAAGTAACCATATGGTACAAAATGGCCATATAGTATGAAATGACCATGTGGTACAAAATGGCCATATATTATGAAATGACCATGTCATGCAAAGTAACCATATGGTAGGAAATGACCATGTGTTATGAAGCGACCATGTGTTACAAAATGGCCATATAGTATGAAATGACCATGTCATGCAAAGTAACCATATGGTAGGAAATGACCATGTGGTACAAAATGGCCATATAGTATGAAATGACCATGTCATGCAAAGTAACCATATGGTAAGAAATGACCATGTGGTACAAAATGGCCATATATTATGAAATGACCATGTCATGCAAAGTAACCATATGGTAAGAAATGACCATGTGGTACAAAATGGCCATATAGTATGAAATGACCATGTCATGCAAAGTAACCATATGGCAGGAAATGACCATGTGGTACAAAATGACCATATAGTATGAAATGACCATGTCATGCAAAGTAGCCATATGGTAGGAAATGACCAAGTGGTACAAAATGGCCATATGCTGTGAAATGACGATGTGGTAGAAAATCGCCATATGGTATGAAATTACCATGTGGTATGAAGTGACCATATGGAATGAAATGACCATGAGGTGCAAAATGACTGTGATATGAAATCACCACATGATACGAAATGTCCATGTGGTATGAAATGAACATGTGGTAAGAAATGACTATGTGGTATGAAGTGACCACTTGGCACAAATGACCTTGTGGTGTGAAATGACCATGTTGTACAAAGTAAGCATATGGTTAGAAATGACCATGTGGTATGAAGTGACCACATGGCACAAATGACCATGTGGTATGAAATGACCATGTGGTAAGAAGTGACCATGTGGTGTGAAGTGACCACATGGCACAAATGACCTTATGGTGTGAAATGACCATGTTGTACAAAGTAACCATATGGTAAGAAATGACCATGTGGTATGAATTGACCACATGGCACAAATAACCTTGTGGTGTGAAATGACCATGTTGTACAAAGTAAGCATATGGTAAGAAATGACCATGTGGTATGAATTGACCACAAGTCACAAATGACCATGTGGTATGAAGTGGACCGTATGGCACAAAATGACCATATGGGACAAATTTGTTTAGGTACAAGGTGACTGTCATTTACCAATGAATGCAACACTGCTAAATATCTTCTGTAAACCACTTTAAATTCATGATATAATTCATTAAAGAAGTAAATGAAAGTCACAATTTTGTAGCTGTGAACATTTCTTAGCGATCTGACTTTACCAAATTTTTTTTTCACTGCATGCCATAAAATCATCAAATCGCAAATAATTGTCATAGTCAAAATTAATCAGGTAATGAGAGATTAATAACAAAATTATAATCCTTAAATTTTATTAACCAACAGATATTAAATTTCAATTTATTTAATGAGGTCATTTGCATAATTTAACTAATTTTGAGTAAATACAAATTTTTATATTAATTTCGTAAATCTAACACTATCTATATAATTTATACATATATTTTTGATAACTTTAATTGCATTTTTAGAAATACACAATTTTCTATCAGTATATAGCAATAAAAACAAAACCATTAAATGAAATTAAAAATTATTTGTGAATAAGATTACTTATCATGTTTTTCATTTTTAATTAAGAAGGCATTGTGTATAAATTGGTATGTTTCAACTTTCAGCCAGAGATTGTCGAAGATTTCAGAAACCTTCGCAAGGAAGCTGAAGAAATGAGTTTATTTGAAGCCAACATGTGCTTCTTTTCTGCTCATTTGGGACATATTTTGTTGCTGGAATTCTTAGGTTGGTTCAATTTATGGTATTTTGGTACTGGTTGGGTTCCTTATATGGTGACGGCATTTATTCTCACAACTATGCAGGTTAGTAAATAACAGTAAATGCACTTGCCCTATCTACTATTTACACGTGTGCTCTCTGTAACTGGGATAATTATTGCATTTTAGTCTGCATTATTAATTATTGATTTTCAGGGAATGATATTGTATCTTTGCTGGCACTGTAAAATACACTCCTCAACATAAAGTTTAATAAACAGAGTGTCTTTTGAGAAGCTTTTTCAGAACCTAAATTTAGTAGATTTGATATGATACAGTTCTGAACTTCACTTTAATACAATAAAATAAGATGCCTTCAATATACTTGTCATAAACCGACCTCAACGAGAACAACTGAGCTTTATTTTCAATACAACAAAAAAGGACGTCTCAACGTATTCTCCATAAATTCACTTCTATGTGGACAACTGAGCCTCACTTTTACAGAAAAATATAACGCCCTCAACGTATTCTCCATGAATTTACTTCTGTGTGGACAACTGAACAAAAAAGTATCTCATCTGGTGGACATCTGAGTCTTAGTTTGATAAAACAAAATAAAATGACCTCACTGAGTTTATTTGATAACTTCTTTCTTGCTAGTTGTTACACACACTGGTATATTTAACAACTTACTATCATGTCTGGCAAGCATCTTTTCTTCGCTTTCAGAAACTTTGCTCTTCATTGTTATGCACAAAATGAGCTGTTTTGCACTGGTAAGATTTTTATAAAAGCATAAAAATAATACTAAAAAAAATAGTTTCCTTCCCGCTTTTTTTTTTTTAGATAGCGACTAATATTATCATTAATTCCAATATGCATATTTTAATTATTATTAGAGTGTCATTTCCATGTTAAGATTTTATTGTCTTGTTGTAGCATGTGATGGAAATGTTGTTCATACCACACAATGACGCAGACACAAATCTCATCAATGCATGCTGTCCACTCGTAATTCTCTCTCTAACTAAATTAATACCAAAATAAAATACTAAATTAAAATCTGTATTAGAAGCCTCATCCCTGATAGAAGTCGCACAGATTTTTTTTGAATAATTGAGAACCAAAAATTCATCATTTCTTATATGTGTAGAAGCTTTTATAGAAGCTGCACCCCCCCCCTCTGTTGCATTGTACCATTTTAGTAGAAGCCGCGGTTTCTAATACAGATTTTACAGTACTACATGTAGGAAATAATTTTATAATAAAAAAATTATTACAAGAATACTGCAAAATATTTGCAAAGGTAGTACAGTGATAATATCATTAATATTATTTCAGATTATAGTGGTTTTCTCAAAACATGCTTTATTTAATATTGCAGGCACAGGCAGGTTGGTTACAGCATGACCTTGGACATCTTTCTGTCTTCAAGACATCAACATTGAATCACTGGGCTCATAAATTTGTAATTGGTGGACTTAAGGTGAGTTGAAATTACCTACCTTTAAGGTAGTTTGCTACCATTAAAAACATACTCAGAAATCCTCGAAATCCAGCAAGAGGGGTTGGGTTACTGTAATGTAAAAAAATGTCTTGACCAAACGCAGTTTTCCACAAAGCGCCCTCAAAAATTGATTAAAAATTCATGTTTTGAGTACCGGGTAGTTTACAATTGGTTTCTATGGCAGAAACATTCCATCTCATCTTTTGTTTGGTGATCTATGCGAAAAAATTACATGTAGTGTCAGCTTTTGTATCATTCCACAAAATAATGTAGTTCATAATGTTCTCATTTCCATAAATGTTGGTAAATTTTCAAAATATTCAATTAAATCTTTAAACATTTGATATCTGACTTTCCAAAAATACTATCTTTACTTAAGATTTGTTTTGATAAGAGTTTCAGAGGTACGGTAACTTGATTTTTGCCTAGTTTGTGAGATTGGAAACCAAATAAAATTAAATCTATCTAAATGTTATACAATGGTGCAAAATTAATATTGACTTTATAGAGAATTCTGCAGCTATGAAAACATAATCACTATGAGAACAAAATTTCTTGAATTTCATGAATTCGAGAAATCATGAAATTTGGTAAGAATGAACATTATTTGGGATATTTCAGATAGCAAAGTTCCAAAAAAAAAAAAAAAGTTCTAATAAGTGGTTTCCATACATCTTACAATAAATCAACAAGCAGTATTGGTGAAAACGTATACTGTAAGTTGCCCTTGTATGGTTGTTGGAATTAAAAACGCCAAATTCTTCAAATACAATTGAAAACAAAAATTCATATAATGGGATATAGCGAGAATATTCAGGTTTATCATATTTAACAGTTTTCACAAAAACAATTGTCAAGTCAATACACAAGCTATGTTTTCCCCATTTTAGCAAGTGAATAGTTGTTGATATTAAAATTACAAATAACAGGTCTAATCAAAAACCCGCTCGGAGGTGTAATATGCTTTACTGCTACTGCATAATATATGTAATTATATAGTGATTGGTGGTGATAAAAAATGTATGCTCTTTTTTATTATTATTTATTGAATAGCATTGAAATGAATGGTAAAAAATAGCATTATCATGCAATGTGTTGAATATAATAGTTGTGACTGTACGGATGCTCTATTACTCGTCTGTGTTGTGTTGTTGAATAAATATTTATGATAGATTAATTCAATAAATTGTCACGTTTCATAGATACAAAGAATAGAGATAATATGCACATGTGTGATAACAATGGAGGCTGAAACTGATAGAAATAAAAAATCAGATTGGCAACAAGACCCATTCTATTTATGATTTTATTCCCTCATTATAAATTTATTAATACAACTTTGTCATTTCAAAGGCTGTAACATTTTAATAATTTATATTAATATAATATGTGTGTGTGTGTGTGTGTGTGTGTGTGTGTATGTGTATGTGTATGTGTGTGTGTGTGTGTGTGTGTGTGTGTGCGTGTGTGCGTGTGCGCGTGCGTGTGCACTGATATCTCAAGCACCATATGATAGTTTTTAATGAAATTTGATGCATAGATGCTCTGAGCTAATGTGCAGATTTGATTGAGTTTTGGGTTAAATCTGCATATTAATTACCTAATCTGCATAATAATTAGCTAATTTTTGGATGTTCTATGACTCTATCTTCCACTGATATCTAAAGAATCAGTCATTAGATTTTGATGAAACTTGGTACATAGATTCTCTGGGATAATGTGCAGACCTAATTAGTTTTGTGTAAAACTCTATGCATATTAATTTGCATAATGATTAGCAAATTTTTCACTTTGCTAATCATTACATTTCAATGTAACTTGGTACATAGATGCTCTAGGACTATGCACATACCTAATTAGTTTTGAATAAAAATCTGTGCATATTAATCACCTAATTTGCATAATGACTAGTCAATTATTGGCTTTTCCACTGATATCTCAAGTACGTAATCATCACATTACAATGAAACTTGGTACATAGATGTCATAGGACAATGCAAAGACCTGATAAGTTTTACATTAAAGTCTGTGCATATTTAATTACCCAATTTGCATAATATTTAGTCAGTTTTCAGTTTTTTCATTAATATCTCAAATACTTATCATCTTTTTTTTAATGAATCTTGGTACGTAAATACACTAAGACAATGTAACTAATTACATTTGGGTTTATATATATTCATAATGATTACCTAATTTCCCTAAGAATTAACCATCATATTATAATAAAACTTGATACATATGTGCCCTGGAACAATACACAGATCTAATTAGTTTTGGATTGAAAACTATGCATAATAATTACTTAATTTGCATAATCATTCCCCATTTTTTTCAAAAAACAATTATTGCATTTCAATAAGACTTGGTGTATAAGTGCCTGGGAACAATGCATTAGTTATTGAAATCCGAGCATACTAATTGCATAATCATCACATGACATTGAAATCTGGTTCATAGATGCTCTTTGGTAATCCACAGATGTGATTAATTTAATAATGAAAAACATGCATACTGATTATTTTATTATCATTAGCCAATTTCTTGTATCTCAAAAAATATGATTTAAATTGAACTTGTGATAGAGGTGCTCTGGAATAAATTGGACTGAAAACTACATATGTAAAATCAAATGTATTTTCTGTAAGTATTATAAACTTCAATAATGTGGATCACATTGTTTTTATGTTGCACATCTCAAATACCAGACAATTATTAGTTGTCAAGCTTTTTGTTTGGAAGGCTAATTTGAATGTCTCCAATACTCCGCACACACAGGGTTTCTTTCTAAGATTTTTTGTGTCAGGATGCAATTTGAACATTGAATGTCACTATTGTCTTCCCTGATTTTGTATTTAATGTGCAATTATGAATTAACATGTATGAGCACTGACATATAGTGCATTGGAGTTAAGCTTTTTATTGAGAATGTGACACACTCTCCAGGGGTGGAGGTTGAATATATTTAAAGGACGACAGACATCGTGCTGTGCATGTGCAACATTTGTGTTGATAAACATTGACATGCGGTTTGACCTGGGCGCGACTTGCACTAATTACAGCCAGTGACTCCTTCGATACCTTCCAATCACCTAAAAAACACCTAATTAAAACTTGGTAAGGTCTTAATTTGTACTACGCAACAGTCAAAGTCGCTATCTTTGTTTATATGAGACGCATATATCTTGTGCACACGTGACTACCGCCTTTTAATGTTCAGCCTAATGTATGATTTGAACACTGGTCTACCAATCATGAATGCAATGCTACAATCACTATGCTATTGGTTAACACTGATTGTTTATCTGAGACAAACATTGCTTTGAAAATAATCCCCTTAACACTTTTACAAATAGACATTGCATCTGTCTTTATAATATCATCTGATTACAGAGAACTGGTTCAATTCATAGACTGTGTAGGCAGACACACATGTTAGTGAGTTGTCTAAGATGATTTTCATCAATAATTCTCTTATATACTCCCCAACTAAATCCCTCAATACATGTCCTTTGTGTTTTATGCCACAGCTGTGCTATAAATAGCCATGACCCTCCTCCCCCTCTCCGATTCCCAGTTAACCAACTTTTGTCGATTAGTTTCACCAAAAATGTAACATGGCACATTATTTATAATATTGGAAGTTATTGGTGTTGTCATAAAAATATACCTCCAGAATGTCCAGGATGTGTGACCTTTAGGGGTCATGCATAAGGCTTATCATAAATTTATTTTCCCTTACAGTGAAACATTTAAATGAGTTACACGTTTTGAACTAACTAAGTATGTGTCATGTGGTATTAGTTTTATGCTCCCTTTTGATGTTGGTTTGACAAATATGTTTCAATCAGGTAAATAAAACCAACAACTTTAATAGCAACTCAGTTGTCAGTTCTGTGCTACTATTGAACAGAGCAAATGTGTCATAGGTTATTAAAACATAATTTTTTACATTTTTTGTCAGACTTGCCCATGCTGGATGGCAACATAATGTGCCATTGCTTCCACAATTTCGGTCTATCAGAAATTCTGAGTAATTTGAAGAATAGCGCCCTCTAACAATGATGCAAATAAAACTTTTGTTTATATGTGCTATGTGCCTATACTGCAAAACCATTTATGTTTTATACTGACATTTAATTTCACTATTTGGATATTTCGAGTATATTCAACATGTTTTGAGTTCACAAACTTTGCAGGAAAGCAATGAGTTCTATTGTTATTCAACATGTTCAAATTTAGTGAATTATTAAAGTAAAAGTAGCAAAATTTAAACCAGTGAATAATTAAGTCATTTACAGTAATATATTTGTTGGCATCAGAAATGTTTCTTAGAAATCTCAAAACTCAAAATTTTGACTTTTTACTTAAAATGTTATTCAATCTTTGTATTCTTCTATTTTTACATTCATCTAAATATTCATTTCGTAGGCCGCATCTGCAACTTGGTGGAATTTCCGACATTTTCAACACCACGCCAAGCCCAATATTGTTACCAAAGATCCCGATGTTCAGGCACCATATTTATTTCTACTTGGTGATAAAATGCCCCAAATATGGGGGAAGAGAAAAAAGGGGTTCATGCCATATAACTGGCAACAAGACTACTTCTTTTTACGTAAGTATAATAATGTTTATTCGGTGTAGAATTTGAGACAGTAATTTTGAAATGCAGAGATTCAAAGGCTTTTCACCTTCTGCTAAAATATTATCGACATTTTGCGTATTTTTTTGCGCTACTTGTTTTCAATATCCCTTTATTTAATTAACAATATATTTTACCAATTTGGAGAATAGCGCCCTCTAAAAAATGGCAAAGAAAGCTTTTGTTTATATAACAGATCTAATCATAGAATGCTGCAAGATGTCTAAAGAAGATCAAATAAGGACAACATGCATATATATCTTAATTTTAACAATAAACTGTGTTACAATGATGTGATTTTTTGGGGATATATAATAAACTTTATTGCCCTACCCATGCCTTTGAAAAATTAGTTCAATATCGCAATTCTTATTAATACATGTCTTTCTCGATTTAAAAATTTGGCATACTCATTTGTTTGATTGCTTAAATCAAAAGTTTTCATAAATAATTAATTACATCAAGTAATGCTTATTGACATGAATCCAAATAAACGCTTTTATTTCACTGTCATCATCACTGTCTCTCAACATCATAAAACACAGTAAACACTTGTCTGTGTAAACAAAGAAAGGTTACATTATATTGATAAAAAAATGAGGAAGGTTGTCACCTGAGTCAAAACAAGGAATACTAAAATAAGGGCATTAGAAGAAAGCAACTTCTTTGAAATCTCACTCAGTTGGATTTAGAAATGTGTTTTTTTGTTGTTGCTTGCAATATGGAATTTTTTATTCACCTTGCATATTGAACCTGAAAAGAAATGTCCATGGGTATTATCTTCTTTGCAGTGGAAGTAATGTATATTCTATTCTATTCTATGTATTGTACAAATTGCATGGGCTGAGTGTCGCCGTCAAAATCGTATAATTTAATTTTGAACTTTTTTTATAGCTTATTGTTGAAATGCTGATTTTTCAGAGGGTAATATTATGTTGAGATACCTTAACTTCATCAAAATTACCGTCATGAAATTTGTGTAGCACATTATTAAGCAATAAAATATCCCTAAAATAATTTCCCGTGTTTAGCTCCACTGTTGACTTTTTCTTGAAAACTACAAGTATGATTGCCTATATACCGATACTTAGTGTATATGTAACTTGGGAAGACCTCTCTTAGATTTGTTCATTTTGTGATGATAATTCTCTAATTGTACTGAAAAGTGATATTTTCGACTTCTTGTTGAAAACTGCAAGTTCAATTGCTTTGATATAATACATATAGGTATCTCAGGTAGACCTCTAAGATTTATTCATTTCCTTATGATATCTTCAATTCTCTAATTGTGATGATTATTTTTGTAATTTTTGGTAAAAAGTGATATTTTCGACTTCTTGTTAAAAACTGCAATTTATATCATAGATAAATGTTCTACAGGTGGACCTCTCTCTTTGTTCATTTTTTAATTAGGTGTTCTTCTTTAATTGAATTGTACATTGCTAACAGCAGAACTATCTTAGCTGAGAGGCTGCTTGTTAGGTGTTCAATTCTTTAATTGAATTGTACATTGCTAACAGCAGAACTATCTTAGCTGAGAGGCTGCTTGTTAGGTGTTCAATTCTTTAATTGAATTGTACATTGCTAACAGCAGAACTATCTTAGCTGAGAGGCTGCTTGTTTGAATCCCACACAATGTTTTGATGTAACTAAGATGCTATGACCTTTGTTCTGTTTTTACATGTTATTTCAAGCGTAATGTTGAATCCTGCAATAAATCTTCAACTTATTTACAGCTTGGTATTCTGAGGTTTTTTTAAGATGCAAAGAAAGCTATTTCATTCTATGTATATTTTCTGTTTACAGTTGGTCCACCATTACTGCTGCCAATTGATTTCCACATAGAGAACCTACGATGTGTGTTTAAATGGAGATTATGGAATGTGAGTACCGTAATAACAGTACAAGTAATCATCTGTCTTCGTCATCAGTTTTGTGCTCCATTAGACTTGCTTACTGTCTTTTCTTTTTAAAATATCCAATTGCAAGTAACTTGGTGTCCTTGGAAGAGCTACAACTATTATTTCACTCTGTGAACATGATGGATGAAGTGTAGACATGCATATATTCAACTGTTTCATGTTTCTTATCTTTTTATCAAAAATAGAATAGAATGCTAGAAAACTAGAGACAAAACATAATCCAACCGGCATGTCAACTAACTACAATAATGTTTTCACAATCTAATTGGATTAACATCTCACACAATATTTTTTTTTAATTAAAAATCACATAAAAATAAAGGCAATGGATTACTCAGTCTTACATGGACAGCTATTGGTACATACACTGGCCATAATGAGACCATAGTATTTTTTTTCTGATATAATTCAGAGATTTTGTATTACAAATTGTGTGTCAGTGTGGTGGGTAAGTTTATATTGCAAAACTAGGCATTGAGGTGTTCTTTTCGTCACATAAACGAACTGACTAAACATGCGGAATTGTTATTGAATCGGACATTGATAGCGTTGTGTATAATTCAAACTTGTATATTTATTTAATATTGTGTTGTACAGTAAATACTTCTTGATATAAAATATGGATTGTTAAATAATAGTTTCATGAGGAGCTGACATCGTAGAGAGCATAGAGAGGAGGGTGTGCATAACGAGCATCAGGTTCAATTACAGCGACGACCTGAATCGGGCTTCTCACGACTGGCTTTGCCTGGTTAATGTAATTGTTAACGTTAGAGTGGCATTTGTCTTGGTGACAACTCATCAGAGTAGTGCCAAACACGTGTTGGTAAAACATTCCGAAAATAAAAAAAACGCTAATGATTGGCGCATACAAATGAAACATAACACTGTCGTTCCATATTAGGAATGTCACATGACTGAAAAGAGACAGAACTTTGGTGGGAATTTTGGCGGTAAGCAGACAAAATATCATGAGAACGCAATGGGAAACAATGTAGTGAATGCTCTGAGATAGCGTTGCTACAGAAACCGATCTAGTCTCTCAGGGTTCAACTCGTGTTTATCCAAACAATGTCTGAAATTACAAAACTAACTTAGAACACATCATAAATAAAGTAAAATTTTCCATGTTTCCATGTGTCAAGTACTGATTAAAAATGTCCAGTTTTGTTTACTATTGAACAACAGAGACTTGTTTTACCTGGAATTAATTTTGCTGAAAACACTATGACAATTAAATGTTTTCTAATTTAGAATGAGATTGCAAGTTAGACAATTTGCACTGATCTGCATGCTATTTTCTGTATTTGATACATTAATTGCCAAATGATATAAAAACATGGCTGGCTAGCTTTCTCACAGTATATTTCAAAAGGTAAAGAAAGCAGGTATTCCTGTCCTAATATCAGCTAGTAGCTGATGATATCAAAATGCAGCTTGTCAGGGA